ATGATTTAATTTTACATTTTCTAGACACTTTAATTGCCAATTTTGCACAAACTTGTCTTATAGACGCTGTTCATATTGAATTATAAATAATTTAGGACTGGCTACAACCTGTGCCTCCCATACGTATCAAAATCAATTTTATATAGGTTTAATCATATATCAGTCACCCAATTTTTGTATCCAATACTGTCATAATACATCAGCATTTCATAACATAAGCGTGTATATCTATCTCTAGGGATATTTATAAGTCTCAACCAAAATCTAATACAACGTTTTGCAGCAAATATATACATTGGGTATCTGCCTAGATCGCCAAGAATTGCGTCATTACAAGCAGAAACATTGACATTCAAAAAACGTTTACAAGCATATAATTGTATAGTTTCTATACATTTATTGTCTTTAAGACCCCACAATTCTGATCCATATAACATTATGGATGCTACTTTACAATCAAAAATCTTAAAAAACGTTTTATGTGGTAAACAATAAATATGTTGAAATGAACTGAGACTATACAAAAGTACTTTTGTCGCTTTGGTGGCCATAGCCTCAGCCATTTTGTACAAAGATAATCTGTTACTAAAATATATTCCAACATATGTGAAACCACTAACAATTTCTAAGTGGTTACCATTATACTGCCTTTTTTCTCTTCTAGATAACTGACCACCTCTTTTAAATACAAGTACTTTAGTTTTTTCAATATTAACTACAAGTTTACTACTAATGCAAAATTGTTGTAACAAGTTTAGTTGTTTTGTAGACCGACAATAGTATCTGAAAGTAATGATATATCATCAGCAAACATAAGTAAAAATACTTCAACAATATCAGGAAAAAGTTGGATACCTCTGATATCATTTTCCACCATTAAAATATACAATTCATTAATAAACAAAGCAAACAAAATTGGACTCAAACTACAACCTTGGCGAAGTCCTATTGGACATTCAAAAATATTTGAAAGATTCCCATTTAAACGTACACATGATTTAACAGAAAAGTATATACTTTGAATTGTATTATACAATTTACCCTTAACTCTATCTCTTCTTAAAATATCGTATAATATTGTGTGGTCCACGGAGTCAAAAGCCTTCTGAAAATCTATAAAGGCTACATATAAAAATCGATGTTTCATATTAAAATACCTAGAGACAATTGATTGCAATACAAATGCGTTATCAATAGTACTATATCCGGCACTTAATCCTGCTTGGGATTCAGAAAGTTTATTAAAAGCTTCGGCGTAAAAAGTAAGCCGTTTAGTTACATTTGTAATATACACTTTACTAAGTACATCAAGAAGTGCAATGCCCCTAAAACTATTGGGATCATTTAAACTTCCTTACTTATGTAAAGGAATAATAATTGAAGTTGCCCAACTAGTTGGAAATTCACCTTTCGTAAAAAGTCTATTAAATAATTTACGAATATACGGTATAGATATTGAATACCGTAGGCAAGTTGCTGCAGCAAAAGATTACCACCCGAAGCTTTATTAAGTTTAAGTGATTTGATACTTGTCAGTATCTCTTCACCAGAGATATCAGAATTAAATATCAACTGCTCAATTTCATCAAAATGTGTGTTTAAATCTACATCTTCTGAACCGGTTTGTTGATTTGTATTAGTATTAGAAAACAAATCTCTAAAATGATTATACCAGTCATCTAATGATATGTTAGATTCAGTTTTAGATTTAATAAGTACACTTTTTATTTCCCGCCAAAATCTACGCGGGTCATGAACACACGAGTCTACTTTAGATATTAAATACTTTTTAGTATATAACCAATGTTTATGTTTACATAAATTTCTATATCGTTTACTTTCTAAATAAACCTTAAAGGTTTCATTCTCAGTGTGACCTTAACTTTCAACCTAGAAATTTGGTTCATGCACGTGACACTGCTTCTCATAGTGGTTAACATTGATTTTCTATGAACGTTCATTAGACTCCTACCATGCGTGAAGGAGATACGCTCTTAACAAAATTTCTTAATTTAATTATCTTTAGAAGCATTGACCTTGCATATATTTACCTAAATTACATGTTTCACACCAGAAGTTATAATAACAACCATATCTGTTTCAATCCCTCAATAAATGATGACTAAATGGTCCGAATACATATTTTCATATTTTTATCTGAACTTTGACCCCAATATGTGAATTTGACCTTTGCCGCAGGGGCCTTAATTTTGCAACACAACACTCCGCCTCACAATTTTGAACATCTGTGCCATGTTATATTGAAATCTCTATGCATGTAGAAGTTTTGCACAGGACAAGCATTTTTCAATAACCTCTAAGTGTGACCTTGACCTTTTACCTTGAGACGTAGTTCATGTGCGAGACACTGCTTCTTATAGTAAAGAAGTTATAGTTGTATGAAGTTTCATTAGAATCCTTCCATATGTGTAGGAAATATGCTCTGGACAAAATCTCTATATTTTATCATCCTTAGTTTGTTTGTTTTGTTTTGATTTGGGTTTTACGTCACATCGACACAGTATAGGTCATATCGCAACGTTCCAGCTTTACTGGTGGAGGAAGACCTCAGGTTCCATTCCGTGCATTATTTCAGGCACGATCGGGCACCTGAGTAGAATCACCGACGTTCCGTAAGCTAGCTGGATAGCTTCCTCACATGAAAGAATCCAAGTCCCTGTCGGGATCCGAACCTACAGCGGTGAGGGGCAATTGGTTTGAAGTCAACGGCCTTAACCACTCGGTCACGGACGCGCCATCATCTTTAGTGACCTTTGCCTTGCATAAATTAACCTAAATTAGATGGTTCACAACTGATGTCAGTATAATGACCATTTATGTTTCAACTCCTCAATAAATGATGACTAAATTGTCAAATAAGACATTTTCATATCTTTATCTGAACTTTGTAACTTGTGTGTGACCTTGACCTTGGTCCCAGGTACCTGAATTTTGCAGGCGAGACTTTGCCTCTATATAGTCAACATGTTTACCAAGTTATATTGAAATCACTCCATGCATGTAGAAGTTTTGATCTGGACAAGCATTTTTCAATGCCGTTTTAAAGCCTTTAATTATTATATCTCTTGGTCAGCAGTCATCGAGTTGGAATCCATCAAGCTGAGACATAAGTTACACACAGTGTTTCTGAAAGTATTTTATATGCTGTCCCGTAAACTTGCTTAGAATTGCACAGTTATTCGACAATCAGTGTCTTCGGCATTCTTTAATAACATCACTTTTCTGTCGTTAACTTATTGGAAGCGAATTCCCTCTCTGTACTGGACATCACTTCTACAATCATTGAGTCCTCATGTCACCCAAAAATTTAAGGTCTAATTACTGATTGTCCATGATTCGCATTTTTTATATACAAGTTTAATCGCTGTTCCAGTTTTAACGGCTTTTTATGACCTGGCTAAATTGGACTTGTTTGATTTAAACACCTATCATTATAACGTTTTCTGGCACATTGCAGTTCAAACACAGGATTTGAGGAGGTTACATATTTGTTGAGTTCTGTTTTGTCATCTTATGACACATTTGTAATGAATTTAGGGAATGCATGCTTGTACAATGTAAATTTGCAAATTAAAAACGACAGGGCTTGTACAGACATCCAGTATCAAAAATCAAGGACTTTTCAAGAACTTTTTAAGCATGTTTTTGCCATTTATCAAGCACAATTTGTTGTGTCTATGTCCTACACAATGTTTAACCAATATTAATTTATAAGTCATTTTTGTTGAAAACACATTTTCTGGCTACAGTACAGTACACTTAAACAGTTTCTATAGAATAACAACAAAGATGGCAACAAATACTAACTTAACTGCCACCTTGTCCTATGCCCCCTGTTAAAACCCTAACTATATCACGCTCCCGCCCACCCACCCGAAAGAAAACAGACTAGTTTTTTTGGAGATAATTTATTTTAATGTAGATTTATAACTGTGCTTATGAGCAGAGAAGGTGTGAAAAGACTACAGGTAATCGCTTATCCGCTCTTTTGTTGTTTTACCTGTCAATCAGTCAGGCATCATATTGTTACAAAAATCTTAAATTCATACCGTAACTGATGCATTCAAAAACATTGCTGAAGTAAGTTAATTACAAAAGCCCAAAATCAATAAAAAAGCCTACACTTTTTACCGATGGAGATAAATGGTGTTTAATTAACTAAGGGGCACAACTAAGGTTGAAAGCTTTCACTACAATTGTAATGGCTAACAGTTTCCATTTGTGATTTATGTTTTTCTTTCGTAGGTTTTCCGTTTCTTTTAAATATAAACACTATAACATGACAATATGAAATAATTGTTTTACAAAATAATGTCAATATTCATTGTATGGTAAGTAAAAATCATAGGATAATACATAATTGCAGTGGATGGGGTAATGCGGTTATCTCGCAAGAGTGTTACATGTCAGAATCTGGCTAAATGCTGTGTTGAGACCTTGGAACACAACATGAGCATTATAGAGGGGTTGAAGTGAAATTCAATCAACTGCAATTTGTGCCTGTAAAATTGAGCAAAGAATACAAAATTCATTGATTTTAATACTGAACAAGATCGATTTTGGGTTGTTTTTTCATAACTGTTGATTTTTATCCACACTAGTCTGTCATTCAATCAATTTCAAGCACATTTGTAGCAAATTTAAGCACTTTTTAAGCAATTTTCAAGAGAGTAATCAAATTCAAGGACTTTTAAGCACTTTTTTTTTATTTTTAAGCACTTTTTAAGAAAGGGACTGAAATTTAAGCACTTTTAAGACTGTACGAACCTGAAAAAAATACTCGCATACAAATTGCAACCAAAGAGCACATTAAGTGTTGCAATTTCTTTTTCCTTATGTAAACATGAAGATATTTAGATTGCAATCATATGTTTGCGGTGCAAAACTATTCATTTAATGATTATGTGTTGTGTTGTTTTATCAATATAAAATCAGCATATCAAAAGTAAAGAAAGAAACACAATTTTAATGTGACTTACCCATTGGACTTCTTAGCAAAAGCTATAAGCGGAAGTATAAATGGGTTCATGAGTCTATTAGCCATCATTTCCTGAAATAAAAAATAGTTACAAAACGTAAGCATCAATCAAAGGCTTTGCTAGAGTGGTGGTATTCATTGTTCTTTTACAAAATGCATTTTTACATGAATTGAATAATAATTAGTTTGATAAATTTCTATGAAATATCAAATTTTAGAAGGAAAATAATAATTCAAAATGTTTATTTAAAAGACACAAAAATTGAATAAAATACATAAATGTTCTTGCATGACAGAAGAAATCTTACCATTCGGGCGTGTTTTTCATTTTGTGGACTGGTATTTGTTTGTATCTTTTTGACGGCGACAGGAATTCCAAATAATTCTATATAAAAATAAAAAGAAAGGCGCAAGCTCGTACAAAAAGGGGAATACTACTGAATTAATACACCATAAGCCATTGACTTATTCCTCATAGTTATGATAAAAAGTTCAGATATCATATATATAAAACAAGAGGGCCATGATGGACATGAGTCGCTCACCAGAAACAACTGCTTTTCAGTATTGGAAACAATTCTTCTAATGAACTTGCTGAAAGGCAAGTCCAACTCTTTCGGCTCTTTTCAGCTCAACTATAACTTGCTTCTCCATTAATATACTTTCACAACACTGATTGTTTCTTTTTTTCTTTTTTCTTTATAATAGACAATAGGACCAATAAGAAGGCTACAGACAAAGTTTGGTGATAATATCCATCAATTATTTTAGTAGGAGAATGATAATGTTCAAAGGATTTTCTATTTTTAGCTTTAGCTGCCCTTAAAAAAGGGGTCAATCAAATTAATATGAGCAAACTTGATAAAGACTACCTAAGAATGCTACAGACACAATTTGTGATCATCCATCAAATAGTTTCCTACAAGGAGACATTTAAAGGTATTTCTAAGTTAAGCTTTAGGGGCTCCTAAAAAGGGGCAATCATATTAATATGAGAAAACTTAATAAAAGACTACATAAGAATGCTACAGATAAAGTTATGTGATTATCCAACAATTATTTCAGAAAGAGATGATGTCCAAAGCTTTTTATATTTTTAGCTTCATTGGCCCACTAAAAGGGGCCAATCAAATTAATATGAGCAAACTTGATAAAAGGCTACCTAAGAATGCAACTGACAAAAATTTGATGATCAGCCATCAATTACTAGTAGTTCTGTAGAAAGAGATGCTTAAAGATATTTCTATTTTTAGCTTTAGCGGCCCCTTAAATGGGCCAATCAAATTAATATGAGCAAACTTGATAAGAGAGTACGCATAGAATGCTACAGACAAAGTTTGGTGATCATCCATCAATTAGTTCTGTAGAAGCAGACATTAAAAGGTATTTCTTTTTTAGCTTTAGAAGCCCCTAAGAGGGGCCAATCAAATTAATATGAGCAAACTTGATAAAAGACTACCTAAGAATGCTACAGACAAAGTTTGGTGATTCCAACAATAGGGCCACTAAGGATGCTATAGACTAACTTTGGTGATAATATCCATCAATTAGTTCTGTAGAAGCAGATGTTCAAAGGTTTTTTCATTTATAGCTTAAGCGGGTCAATCAAATTAATATGAGTAAACATGATAAAATACTACCTAAGAATGCTACAGACAGATGCGTTCATCAAAAATATATTTGATTTGTTTCTGAGGTCAGTTTTATTATTTCAAATAATCCATGGATGAGGATTAAGTCGTAGGGAATGTGGACATACAGTTTTCATTTAATGAACAAGATAATTATTTTAACTATATGATAAATTATATGTAACGTTGGGTTAATATTAAGGTGCATTAATGGCATCATTCTGCTTTAACATACCATGCCAGTGTTATGGACAAAATTAAGAAGATATACTTACTGCTACTATATACTTGACCAAAAGCACCTTCTCCTATAGCCTTCTCATATAGTGATTTTCCTAAAGCTTCAATCTGTATTTCTGTTAGTTGTATTAGTCGACCATCAAATTTAAAAGAATCCTTTTGATCCTTTGTTAAACATGTTCCTACAATTAATGACGACAATAATGTTAACATTTGTTTTTACCAAATATAAAACTATTTAGCTATCATTGTTAAGGACAACATTTTTTCAAAAAATTGCATATTTTTAGCTGATATAATGATTAGAAATTGTGAGTTTTTTCAATCAAGTTGAACGATGATAACCGTCAAAAAACATCTGACCATGACCAAATTAGAACTTGACTTTTCTGGTGTATACAAGCACTTGCAATGTCAACCTCGGACATACATTCCTTTATATATAGATAACAAACGAAAGTTCTTATTTTTTCTAAGTTCAAGAAGGATAACTCTGTCAAAAATCAACAAAGCAAAACAAAAGTCAAACTTGACTTGTATTTTCCTGTTAAAAACCTGTACATGCGATTTCAACATTATACATACATTTTTAAAAAAGTAAAATGCTGAAATTAAAAACTACAGTTTTTCCAATGTTCAAAAGGGAAAAATTTATTCCAAATTATCATTCCATGACGAAATTCCAACTTAACCTGCTTATTCCCATATATGTCAAATTTTTGAGTTTAATGTGTACAACTGTTAAAGATTATTAATGTTCACTGAGAAATTATTCTTATTCTTTTAAAGTAAAAGAAGCATTATAACTGCCAAAATTCAGTGAACATTGACCAAATTCAATCTTGATTTTGTCTTTTCTTTGATGTATACATATCTCAAATTCGAGATGAATGTGTACAATTGTAGAGGTATGGAACAGAATTAATGCATTTATTCTATCTTGCCTGGTGACATTGGAACTTGCATTATGCTTAATTCCATCTTGCTTGATGACATTGGAACATGCATTATGCTTGATTCCATCTTGCTTGATGACATTGCAACTTGCATTATGCTAAATTCTATCTTGCTATATGACATTGGAACTTGCATTATGCTTGATTCAATCTTGCTTTATGATATTTAAACAATGCATTATGCTGGATTCCATTTTTCATTATTTCATTCAAACATTTCGTAGTGACCAATTCTTTCATTGAGTGATAACTATTAAACTGGAACAAGCCATTTGGAATACTAAAATGTTAACGTTATATACCTTTATGTATAAGCTACATTTTTTCATGCTCTATACAAATCATTTACGGTTTAGTTTTTTTGTATTACTTTTATGTAGAAGTCATTTAAAATTCACTTTTTTTCCCTGATATATTTTGTTAAAATATGTGACTTATTTGATTTATAGCTCGCATAGCGTGATTACTATTAGCTTTCGCTTATATCCATTATTCAGTGTTTATGTTTAATAAAGCTCGGTGTCTGATGCTTTGTGGATTATGTTTGATCATCTTAAATTATGATAAACAATTTAAACTATGTCTAGCGATTTGTGAACTGTTAAGGGGCGAGAACTCTGTTATCGATATCAACGGAATTTTTCCACGATTCGCCTTTCATCGGAATTTTCCGTATAGATACTGCGTACATGTATATATAAATACGTACTGAGCGCTTAATACATAAATTGCAGTTGAAAGAATATAAATACAAGTAGTAAAGGATTATGCAATATAATTTTATATATGTATACAGTCTAATAGAAAATATATGCTCGTAAACAGTTATTCAATGGGGCAGTTACACGTACAGTGGCGGATTCAGGCCCTGGCTTCAGGGCTGCACCTCCCCCCAAATATACGTTCATGAGCTGGGATGGAATATATACGTGTCAATTTCATGCAATTGTCTTCTTAGTGTACTCCCTTACCAAAACATATTATGCTGCCATCCAGTTGTTAAGCACCTGCCTAGGTACTGCGAACTTCAATGTCTTTATCTAATGACTTGGACATTAAAAAGCAAAAAGTATTGGCCTGGCAGTCTGATCAGGAGCCATGCTGTTCGCTGTCAGTTTCTCTACTTGTAAAAGAGTTGAAAAGCGAACAGCATGGATCCTGATCAGACTTTGCGGACGCACAGGCTGGTCTGGGTCCATGCTGGTCTCAAACCCATTATGTTGGTTTTGTCGTGACGCGGCTCACATGTTAGGCATATGTGTGTCTGATTATAGATCAGACATCCCGCACACACCACCACATTCACATACATTTGTGCTTAATGATATACTATGCACATCTTTCAGTAATATATTTTTATCACAGAAATTTATTGAAATCTATAAAATTCTTACTAATTATGTTTTATTTAAATAAAAACATATACACATAATGTATAGGAATCTGCTTTTCTTATTACGGGTCAAGTAAAGTTGTGTCTGTCTTTAAAAGAAACTTCCATATATTTTTTGTAATAACACTATACATGTATATGCATACTGCCCACTTACAGTGTAAAGGATTTAAAGCACAATATTTGTGTGACGCCAAATTATATTTATTTTATTTTACAGAAAAAAAATCAAGTTTGTACTGTACTAAGCCGTGGCCACGATTTACTAAGTCGTTTAAGTCGTGGGAACGAGATAACTATGTCGTGCAGACGAGATAATTAAATCAGATTACACCATGATTTTCTAAACTTAGAAGAAAATTTCTGTATAAAGATTTACGTGCAACATTAATCTTTGAAAATAATGAAGTGTTCACTTTAAACTTGATACATGTCTTCAGGATCATAAGATCCATAAATCATACATTAATTTTGACTAAGTTATAGCCCTTTGTTGGGACAATTCTATGATAGAATTGGTCATTTTGTACGTACAGCGGCCTGTAAACATCGTTTATACCATAACTTGAGAAGGACTTAGTCCTGGATTATTTTATTGGGTAGGGACATTGCCCATGGACAGTAGATATCCTATAAGGATTTTTGAGGTCACGGGTCAGATAAACATGACACTTCATGTAAAATCCTTGTCTGATGAATGATTGAGAAAGAATAAGCCGTAGTTTATATAACCTAAAAAGATCAGTAGATGACACTTAAATTTTTTTAGGCAATGTGGTCAGAAATCAGGGTCACAATGACGCTAAATCTTTGACCAATCAATAACTTGTATCAATGGCACTTTTACGGACAGGAGAAGTAGGGGCATCCTTGTTAGGAAAATTCATATAATTTTTAATAGTGTAATTTGATTGGTTATTTAATTTATCTCGTTCGCACGACTAAACTTTTTCGTGGCCACGACTAAACTTTCTCGTGGCCACGACATAGTAACTTGTTCCAACGACTTATTTATCTCGAGGCCACGACTTAGTTACTCGTGGCCACAACATAGTATCTCGTTCCCACGACTTAACTGTTTCGTGGCCACGACTTAGTAACCCGTGGCCACAACATAGTATCTCGTTCCCACGACTTAGTAACCCGTGACAACGACACAGTATCTCGTGCGAACAAAATAAATAAAAACACACACATGTCACCTTTGTGTCACCGTAAGTTTGAGCATAGTATATTCACTTTCACTATTGCTCATACAACTATCACTCACGCTCAAAAAGAAGTGTAAACACTTGTATAAAAGGTGAGTGTTGCCACTTGTACGATGAGTTATTACAGAAATCTATAACATTTTTTTTCCACATGTTGGAGAAATCTTCAAAAACACGCACTTTTCGTCTGTCGCATCGTGTTCTCTTGTTTTTCCAGTAAATTTTCCCTTTACATGTCAGTCCCCAACTAAAACTGTTCTGTATACGCCCCTGTATAAAGGGCACGTAACTTTGTTTTACTCCACGTGCTAAAAAATACGGGATCGTCCGGAAAATAACGTGATGTACCGACAAAGCGACACCTGCTGTCATAATACGAACACAAATTGTTGCAACTCGCATTATTGGATAGTGTTCAGACTGATTGCTGGCGGCATCCATGTTTGTGTATCTGATTGCAGTGAATGAATCTCATTTTAAGCGTAAAATCATTAGGAGCAGTCTACAAAAATTGTTTTGCACATGCCCAGTTTCAAAACACGGCTTAACTTAAACGAAAAATTAACATCGAAGTGAACAAATCGGTACATAGAAAAATCGGAAAATTTCATTTACGTTACTTAACACTACGTGCATGGATGCTTCATTCCTGTATAAATCGATTACCGTATTGTTTTCTGAATAACGTTTTACTATTTCATGTTCTGATAAATAGTTACAGTGAACATTATAGCTACAATATGACCATGCACTATATATACCGCCTGCGTGGTCGAGGGGTTAGAGTCGATGACTTTTAATCAGTAAACTTTCTGGTGTGGGTTCGATCCCCGGGAGAAGCTTTTTTGTTAGTTTAGCGCGGAGGAAGGTTGTCTGGTACTGGTGTAACTCTCCAAGAACGATGGTTAGGAAACTACCCGCCTATATGACTAAAATACTGTTGGGAAAAGGCGCTCAATGAAACAAACAAACATATTATATGACCGAGTGAACCGTGTATTGATTCTATTGAACCGGTATATCTAAATAACACAAAGGGAGATTTTTTGGCGCAAATGGCACAAATTTTATCTCAAGTTTGATTTTCTTCTAATATTGTGGTTGGAGGCATGCAGCTTCATATACTGTTTATTCCAATAAACAGTATATAAAAGTATAACAGTATAACAGTATATAACAGTATTTACTGTTTATTCCAATCAAATGATATCAACATTTTTTATGTAAACTTGTTTGATTAACATACATACTTTATACTCGTTTTGGAAAATGTAGAGGAAATGCTTCCTTATATTTAACAAAACAGTAAAAGAAACTTTTATTTTGAAAATACTTTTAATATATATATAATTTTTCTACAAAGGGAACTGAATTCAAAATACAAATGTAAATGATATGTATATTTACATTAAGTTACATTTTTTTTGCAGAAAAAGTATCCCTAATGCACCAAGAAAAAAGTCCATTTCTCCGGCATATAATATTTTAAAACATTAAAAAAGATGAAATGTAAAACAAACTTTCATTGCAATATATATAAAATAAATTCTATTTTGTTTAATAATTGTTATTTATAAACATTCATTGTGTCTGTAATGCAAAATATCCCCAAATATTTTCGA